AGTATAAATTTCCTCAACTTCCACAGAAGTTTCATTTTGTAGATGCATTTTTTTAATCAGAAGGAATGATTTGATGATATATTTAATTAACACCACTATTTTGTTGTGAGTATGTTTCTTAAATTACAATATAGGATCAAACTAAAACTTTGGTACCGTATTTTACAGACCATATGGCGCACTGTGAATAAATTGCTTAGATTGGGTTTTTATTCCTACATAATGTGCATTGAGCTAAAAGACGCAACATTTTTCATTGAAACGGTACCTGTACTTGTTTTGTATGTTGGCAGTAAAGCATAAAGCACTGACTGATCCATACATTAGGCGCACTGACTTATAAGGCACACGATCACATCTTGACAATTAAAAATGATTCAATTTGCGCCTTATGGTTCGTAAAATATGGTAATTTGGAAGGTAAAATATTGACAGCCTTATTGTTTAAGGATATATATATATAATTGGCTAGGGCCTAATTAATTTTAGACTGTTTTTCTTTGATTTCAGCAGTAAAGTAGCCTATTTTATACATTCTTGAAGTTCTGATTAAATCAACCAACCATTTGAACTGTAAATGATGCTGAATGAACTTATAGTTATTGATAAAATGTTACTGATTGTATGTTTTATTGTTAAAATAGATATTATTTTTTTTAAATTCGAGTATTCAAAATTTAGACATAACATGTTAATGCTCAAAACTCCTAATATACTGTTGAGGTCAGGCGCTGGGTATGTAAACTCTATTTTGGCAAAGAGTTTTCTAATGGAGGCCTTCTTACATTACTTGTTTGACAAGTTTTTTTTTCTGTGTTCATTGCTCATGGGCACAACTAATGCACAGTGGAAATTGATACCATGACCTAATTTTTTATTTTTGGTTGAACACACATGATTTCTAATACAAATTTTTGAATGACAGGAAGTACTAATTATATTGAAGCTAGACAACAAACATTAATATGACTATGAATATTAGTGAATATATAGTGCACATCTCTGTTCACTTTGATCCATCAAGGCCATGCTTGTTAAATCCTATTCGGTGAAAAATTGAAAACCCTTAGTGTTGCATGGTTGAAAGGCATTTAGCTTTTACTAGATATGATCACCATGTTTAGCCGGTGGGTTTATTTATTAATTCTCCTGTGAGTGTATGTACCGAATGTTCAAGCTTAGCCAAATGTTTCATTTGATGTGGTATCGTAGGTTGAAACTAGGGCTGGGCATTTTCGAATAACTTGTGATTTCAGAATCGAATCGAATAATTTTTTCGAATCGAATCTCGAATACTTGAAAATATATAATTGTGAGCGATTTTATTATAGTAATTGGTCCTCTCAACAAATGAATTACTGAAGACATAGAACAAATCACTCAGATAGATTACTGAGCGTTCACACAGAATAACAAACACTTTATATCCATAAGAAAATAGTCATATGTTAGAATTTCGTTAAAAAAATATGACTCCAATGAAAAAAAAATGGGGAATTCATCTTGAAGATTAGGGAAAGATAAAAACAAGATGGCGGCGATTTGAAATTTAGCTCTGAACCGATTCGAATAATTTACTATTCGATTCGATTGGATTATTCGATTCGAAATGCCCAGCCCTAGTTGAAACAAAAGGGTTAGAATTAGAATAGTTTTAGGACATTCTAATAAATATTTAAATGTTGAATTCGTGACAAAATTGACTGGCGCGACAGCAGCGCATTTTTTCACGCATGAGACACCAAACCGAAGCAAGAAGTTATATTCACCCCTATTTTCTTTTTGATTTGACGTTATTTTTCCTAACTCGAGATGTTCAAACGGAGTAAGAGATGTACATGCAACTCCGCCAAACCAGTTTATCAAAAACAGTTTTGATATTTATATTGTAATAAACGCTTATGCGACTTGCTCTATCGTAATCATTGAAGCAATTAATTTATCCATATATGGTAAATATCGACAATTAGCCCTCTATAATTCTTTTCATTCTTTTCGGTTAGTAAAACCCGTTAACTTGGATCGGTTCATGGATTCAGATTATTTTGAAAATTTGCCTACATAAACTGCAGTTTGTTGAATTCAATAAAATGAAAACTAAATTTGTCTCGGCGTATATTTTCGAAATCCCCGCAAATACTTATAGCGGTCTTTTTTAATTCCTAAATTAAAAAATGACACTGTGATCTGCATTTAATTAAAGGGATTCATCATCGTCCAGAGACAAACCAGTCGGGACGCTTTTGTTATTTTCTCCCCAATTTCTGACTACCAGTTAAAGTGTTTTCCGGGTTTAGTCTCGACGGGTAATGAGATTTACTCGTATGGCGACTGCGACATTTAATTTGCCACAAGGGAGGGTCTACACTCTACGTATATTGGAATTTTATTTTGAATTACCAATTTGATAAAAATTTAGTGCCGATTCATTGAAATCTTAGTGTCATGTCATACGTGGCCTCAATTTGCGCGATCGTCGATTTTCTTGTCGTCGTATTTATTTATTTATTTATTTTTTTTTTCATCTTGGTCAGCGTGCCGTATTCCGTAAATCTGTACAAGTATCTATTAAAGGTATTTTATTATAATTTAATGCATAGATACACATAAAGGATGGGGAATACGTACGAAATTATTCATGCCTTGCAGTTATTCGAATTTATTAGGAAAGCTATACGTCAAATTGTGAATGTAGTAAAATGGCCATCGGTTTCATGTTGTCGTTACTGAATTTAAGGTACTTTGACTTTTTCCGTTTTTGTTTCTTTATACATTTAGTAGTTACATTTTGGTATTTGTCATATTTCTTTCGCCGTAGATTAGTAGTATTGTTTTTCAAAAAGTTCTCAGTATTTACCAAGCGCACGGCTCGGGGAAAATTATGGTTCGCCGCAAAGCCCAATCATAAAACCTCGGCATTCCGACCTTAGCATTACAGCATTTAATAGCGGGCCCAAAGGGTAAATATCTTGAAAAGTTAAGGTATTTATTGCCCTCGTTAATAGTTTTGTTATGACTCGGATATTTTAAAATAGAAGCTGATTTAAATTTGATTATAGCAATCGCTTTACACAAGTGTATGTTATTCGTTATCAACATAAATATAGATTAATTATTATTTTGGGACATATTTAGACCGTCAAATAGTTAACAAACAGTGTTTTCAAGTTGGGATATGATATTGATAGAAAAGTAAAAGTAGGACGTATGGTTTGGTGTATAATATACATGCCGTCGTTATGACCGGTTGACGCTTTTCGTTTTCGTTTTCTCACGACGTTTCTTATTAAAAAAATAAAAACTAAATAAACTAATAATAAAGACTAACTTAATCTATGCAGAAATGTAATCCAAGATGACAATTAACCACCTACGTACACAGGCGTTAGCTAACGTAGTGACTATCAGTTAGTCACTTCATGTAGGCTAAAGTAAAATTGTACCGCGGGTTATTTGCTTGACGAGTCTGGGTGATATATAAACCGTGCATACTATAGCGCGATTATTGTCGGCCCTGCTCAAACGACTTAGCGTATCGTTTATAAGTTTGTAACTATTAATGAAGAACGCAATGTATCGCGGAATACCAAACAGGATGCTCTTAGACCCAATAGAATATTGCTGTTGCTAATGGTACTTCTCGCGCCAAAGGCCTCAACAGTTGGACAGCGCGGATTGTGTGACTGGTGACAACTGTTATTGTCGGGTCATACTTTTACATTGTAGTGCCAAATTCTCACTCCAAAATTTTTTGTCACATCGTCTTACTTGTTCATGCAGATTATTGATTATTGTATAGTTCTTATGATTTTTGTCCAACTGTTTGGTTTGGCTGGTTTGTCTAATACTGATATCCGAAGAAAGTAAAATATATACTGTGCTACTTATTTTGTGTTGTTTCTATGCCGACCTTATCTCTTTTAGACATGAGCTAAGACGAAGTTTGAATGAAATTATAGAAAACAAATCTAGAGTTCAGGATTACAAATTGTTAGTGTAAATTTGACTAAATGCTCACTCACAAGGAGCTTATGTTTTATCATAATGCAGTCTGAGTATGGATGTAATGTTGATTTGAAATTTACGTGTTTAGGTGCATAATTTTTTCTTTCAGACATTATTGCAGTAGGATAAATCATCATTTAAGGCTAAAGTATTGATTTGTAAATGCAGTGCAATGCAATGAAATTGAATTTATTGGATTTCCTAATCAATCAAGGAGTTGGTAATGGATTGAATGTGGCTTTGCTGCAAGTGCTAAATCACTAGAGAATGCATGATGTGATTCATTAAATGGTTACAGATAGGATAAGATTGTCAGAACTGAACAGCACTGGGTTTAGTGTATGGCATTCTAGAAATTGAAATTGAGTTTATTTCGTCATTTGAAACCAGCTGAGAGTAGGCCGAGTAGCTACCTAAAAATAAGTGGACATGAAATTAACTTGTCCGGATTTTCAAAATGAGAGTCTGTACCAATTCATAATACCAGTTATAATGACGATATATGGAGATTTAAAAATGAAATGCTGAATCATGAACCATCAGACGAAGCCCATGCTTGGGATCATTTTATATCTCAGCTGAAGTCGTTTTCAAAATCTTTATATACTTGATTGTCGTTTAAAATGCAGCATTGCTATGTATCATTCCCAATCAACTATACTGTTAACTCTGCCTGAGTGATGATTTCAACTCGTTAATTCCCTGTAGGAATGAAAAAACAATCATATGCTTTATTATAAAGGTTAAATAGAGGGGTGTAGCACATGCCTCAAGAGTTATATAGTGTATCGTATATATATTTAGATAGGAAAGAAGTGTTAGACAAATGCCATTGTGATCCTCTGAGATTTAACTGATCTTTCATTCAAACTACCAAGCAAATCATCAATGAAGAATCGAAATAAAATTTAGAATCTTGTAATAATCAGCAGTTGTATAATGGTAGGGGCCGAGGAGCTGAAATATTTTGCATAATGGTCCAGGTCTGCTGAGTGGGTTCATTCGTGATTGTATATTAGATAATGTGACAGAATTGATTGACAATTATTCCAGACAAGTGCTCTTCATATATTAAAATGAATGAGCATTTATTGGATATGTTTCAAATTGTTTTGTTAAGGTTCAATTTTTACATTAGTTACGAATAATGTTGTACATTTAGAAGTTGTGATGTTCTTATCATTTTCATCTTGACTGATCGGAAATGGTACCTTCATGCTGTAATCTTTTTTGATATAGGGGGGTGGCTAATGTAGTGTAGCCTCGTTCCTCAAAACTAGACAAAGTTAAATATAAAATGTGAGGCAGAAGTTGTATAGATATGTTTCTTTAATATTTGGTTCTTATATGCAAGAGTGCATTGTGTGCTAAGTTTACTATATGCATTATAATTTCAACTTCAATTTATGCCCAACATTAACCGCATGGCATTTGCTTTCCTGTCATTTTCTGGCAACTATATGGATTTTGGTGTAAACTAAAAATTATATTTGACATGCTGCCTCAATATTGCCTTTGCTCATTAACAAGATATTTAAATCTCTTCTACAGCTTTTCTTTGCATGAATCGACAGTAAATGTAATTTTATAATGTCTTCCGACTTCATGAAATCTCTTGGTCCTTGGACTTGAGTAACTAACAAAGAAAACTTCTTTCGTACTCTTATTTTCTGCTGCTTATTCCTGAAATTGGGGGAAAGACTTTCAATACAACAAGCTGTCAAAAGTTTGCTTTTCAAAAAGATTCAGGTCAAACAGGACTTATGCGTAGTTTGGATTTAATGTGATATCTGTAAGATGTCAATGTTTAATCGAGATGAAGCTTTTATCTGCGCTCTCAAAAAGAACCCAAACCAAAGAACAAACAAGGTAATATAACAACCACTCATTATATTTATGTTTTTAATGACTGGGTCGATTTGGTTTGTGGTACTGGTTGATATTCGAAGTTTTAACTAGGTAGCTTCTCTCAAAATTGGTAATTTTGCAATATATTTTCAACTCAATGATTGATGCTTATAGTTATAATGGTTTCCAATATAATATGGAGAATATTTTAAATCGGAGATTATGAGAACGACGGAGAAAAAAGAACTGTTATGCTATTTAGTAATCTAATATACTACTAAGTTTATTACTCTCAGTCGAATTTTTATATCATTGTTATTGATTATTAAAAGGAAAAAAATACAAATATAGAGTTTTTGAACTATCTTCAGTGATAAAAATACTTTATTAAGAAGTGAATTTCGAATTGATGCCATATGTATTGATGATACATGCCATGATCAATTTGTTTTGGACTCTTTTTATAATATACTTATATTTCTTCAAATTTATTTTGGTAAACGAAATAAAGTACCCATTTTAAACCGCAGGATCTTGAGATCATCTTTTCTCGACTACACCGATTTGAAGCTCTTTCAAATTTGAGAGAACAAGGTCTCAAAAAACTTTGTGCTGAAGTGAGGTATGAATGGCATGATTCAAACGAGATACTATATGGGTAAGTAATTATATTTTCACAAGTCTCCTTAAGTTAGTGATATTTGGGCAATAGTTTTTATTGCTATTACGATAGTATTATTGCAATTCCAAGAAAGATTTTTTGTGTATTCAAATTGCTAAAGTTGCTGTATTTTTCATAAAATTTGTTATTCTACATCAGTTAGGGTTACGCAAGACTAACTACCTATTGTGCCTTATATGTTTGTGCTGATGTATCTGTATGCATGTTGGGTATGGATACTGTAGCAATGATGAAGATTACCAGTACCGGTACTTTTTTTTGTGATTTGACATTCTTGATGCATTCAAGAGTCTTTAAAAAAACAGAAAGTTCAAAATTTGTTATTGTTTGTTTGCTCTAATTATGATAGCAATAGACATAAATAAGTATTGTACAAAAATTACAAAATGGTGATAGTAATATTATCCCAAAGCCAAATGTAATAGGAATGAATAATTATATGTCATCTAGTTCCATTACAAATTATGAACTTCAAATTCAGCCTCAACACAGAAGTATTTGGATTTGATGGTCAATGTCTGTGTTCTGAAAACTTTTTTCATTGTGACCCACTTGGCATGGCAAAATATTTTGTGAGCTTCAGGAACTAAAATAAAAATAAAGTTAAATTTATTAATACAGAAAATATTGAAAATTAAATCATAAAAATCACAATACCTTATTAAACTTGATGTGTTTGCATATTCTCTCACTAAAGATCGAATCTTGGCTTTATTTTGGTGATGGTGCATTTGGTTCCATATCTTATATATATTTTGTTTGACATAGCTAGTGTCTATAAAAATGTTAATGCGACCCCCATTGTGCTCTTTCACGACTTAACCGGGAGGTCAGGACCCCAGTTTGAAGAGCCTTGGTCTATGAAATATGAACTCATGAATGAATTGTTTTGTTGTGTTAACCATGTCAACTGGGAAATGTATAATTTAAATAATGTTACCACTTTGTTTATCTTGTCTCTCAACTTGTGTTTCTAGGAAAGATGATCCTTGTACCTGCTGGTTTATTTTGTTGTCTGGATCCATATTTATTCAGGGCTCTATGTTTCTACGAAACACAAGGTATGCATTTATGTGATGAATTTTATTCAAAAATGTACAGTATTTCAGATTTGATAAATAGTTCGATGTATATAATGCATAAAAGAATAGTTAATAGGCAGTTTTAGTTTTACCATCTTGAATGAATTTAAGGTACTATCTTGTATTGTATTACAATGCTTCATGTTCACAATCTACATCAATAGGAAGGAAAGGAAATCCTGGTTTCAAGAAGAAAAGGTTGATATTGACTCACGTATTTAGTTACCTCAGTTTAGATATAAAGATAAAACAGCTTTATTCAAGGAAAAAATCTTTAGTTATTATTAAGTAAATGAAGTTATGCTGAAGATGAACCATTTTATAAAGCAAAATAGTATATCTTATTCACAAATAAACTTCATTAGTGACATTTTTCAAATGGAGATTTGAAATAATCATATCTCAAAAATTTAAATAATACATTGAAGGACATTTTTTAACATTTACTTCTTGATCATACACATTTTTTATTAATATAATTGTACTTGTTATTCATGCATTATACTAATTTTGGAATCATGAGTTCATAAATTCACCTCAACCCAATTATATGAGACATTGCCTTAAGGCTATGTCATATGAGCCTAATCATTCATGTCAATTCAGCTTAGCCATATCGTTATGTTTGCTTAATGGGAATAACAATGAAATTGAGTGGTTGACTTAGTCTAATACCGAAGTGCTTGTCCTTTATTAAATATTGTATGTTTTGCAATCTGAACTTGCCCACAGTCCTGAAGAAGCCTGACTTGTCGAGCCTATTTTGTGTCAAACTAAAAATAATTGAACAACAAATTCACAGCATTAATTGCATTAATCATATCTATTTTTGTAAGAAAAACTCTAACCAAGTCATACTTCGGTCAGCCTTACTAGACTTACTACTACTGGATATTGATCAAGTTGGTGGCAACTTTGTATGTACTAATTACAAAGCAAAATTTCAACTTCCTAACATGCCTATGCTTGTTATTTTGTTGTCAAACATTTCAATGATTCAAATATTGAAAAAAAAATTTTATGTTGTAATTTTTCATTTTGGATAAAGGAACTTATTTAAGACATACTTTATAACACAACCATGTTGCAAAATTGATTCAGATGGAACATTCTATAATTCATATCACGCTAAATTGATGGAAGTTGTCTGAAAGTACCAAACAGACTTTATTTACATAGTATTTTATTTTGGTTTTAACAACTAATGATCAGAACTATTAGTAAGAGGTGAAGCGATAGTTCAATATTTAGTTTATAGCTCGTAATTATGGAATAATGCCTCATTACACACCCTAATAGAGTCGTTATGATCATAAGTATGTCTAGTCTGCAATACACTAAATATGGATTTGTTGTCTTGTGATGGAATTTCAGATTTATCTTGGCGGAGAGGAAAAATAATAAGGCTGTTTCAATGATAAGTGCACATGCTCTCCTGCAAAATTATATTCTGGATTTGGTGATTAGTCATCGAGCTATTTTGCTACGTTTTGTTGAGAGCAGTTAAATATTAATCTACTAAAAATTCTTCGCTGTGTTTTCACTGTTGGTAAAACGCTTCCGATAATATTCTTGTCTTGTTCTAAAATTAGTTTTGGCATTCATTTTTGTACACGCTACATTAAATGATTACCACACTAACAGTCGGTCATAATGGACACAGTCTTAGCAGTTGATTGTCCTTTTCTATTGATTAGTTTCGATTGATCTTTTCTGGGAATGTTACACCATTGTTGATATTTTTTCATTGGAATTTGGTAAAATATTGGTACAATAACCAATTATTAATTACTTTAATAAATCCACACTGAAGCAAGGTATTTTTTTGTAATGTGAACTCTGGGAATTTTTAAAATGAAGCTTGCATTCATGAGTAACACTCTTACCACTGCATTGGCCTGTAGATTGGCATTGGGGATAATTTTGTGCTAGAGGAATGTTAGAGGGATTCATGTAACAATGGTATTGTGGGTGCGTACAGTGTCTTCCACCAAATTAATTTGTAACAATTAACTTGAACTGTTCTTTCATATTCGTACCCAACTTAAATTAGTAACTGGTTGAGAGGTTGTGGTTTCCCATATGATTAAGCCATCTTATTCACTTCCCATCGGCATCTATGCGATAAATATAAAAAAAAAATCCTTTTTTATTTCTGTTGGTCAAAAACTATTTTGGTTATATACCATAATTTATGTAATTTTTATGCCCTAGTTTACGATATGTCACTCGTCATATCAGAATAACACCAAGCTGTAGTTTGAATAGGCATATTCTTTTGGGTATTTTCTACTTGCCGAGATAACATCAATCCCGATTTAGTCGTCATACTGCCGGATGTTGTTTTAACATTTCTCGGGCGTTTCATGTTTTCATTTAAAAGTTGTCCGCCAGAGTGCGATGTGGAGCGAGAAAATGTGCCGATGAAAATTGAAGCACAGCGTGTTGCAATCCCTACTGACAACTTAGCGTTTGGTGCGTTCCCGAATTGCAGACCTGCATTTAGATGATGTTTTCACTGTTTCTTGGTGATTGTGCAGTTATATTTACCATATATCACTGCCATGTATCACTAATCACTATTGTCATGAAGTTTTCGAATCTTAACCAAGTGCTATTTCAGGGGAAACTGATCTTCTATGATCATGTTGTGCTCTATGCTAGAACCTCCACGTTTTGTTGATTTTAACCACAAATACAGATTTACCGGCAACCTTAACAGTGAAAATACTTGAAACGTATCTCTTTGATATCGAAGAATATAATTTTGCACGGCATCAGTTTTCTTGGTATCTATTAAACCGTAATTTCCAGTTCGCCATCTCTATTCATGCATTATTAAAAGGGGAACTCTTGAACGCTGTTGAATTTCAATTTGCCATTGTAAACATTTGGAAAAGGGAGTGCATTTATTGTTTTATGTACTTTACATAGACTGGTTTATATGAGCGCGGTCACTGTTCAAAAGAATACTGCCGAAATTCAATAAAATTTAATAGTTATTACAGCAAGAGGTTCATTTTTGTCACTACTTCGAACACTTTCTCAACTAAAAGTATAGAATTATAATATGGTGAAAGTGAATGTGTTTTGTGTTATGTGTTTTGGTTATCCTGCTGAATTATATATATATATATCGTGTTTACTTAGTTGTTGAGTTCATTACTGTAACCTCAAGTTCCAGCTGCAGTTTAGCTTGAAAAGACTCAGTTAAGGACTCTTCCTGTCTCCGGTTCAAGTACTCCACTTTGCGATATCAGTACTACTCTCGTGTTCTTGGTACATAAAATTATTTGGACAGCAAACAGATAGGTATGTTTGGTCTTCTTCTAACCGACCGCAATGCGTCACTTATCAAGATCATTCTTATCTCCGCTTGTTTGTTAATCGTGCCAGAGAAATTCTGATATTCTGCAGCGATAAATTCTGATTTTTTTATGATTAGATCAGATTAACCTGTGTTTCTTGCGTTAATTACGATACGTTGGGTCTTAATTTAAAACTTACTGTACTATTGCTGTACACTACGCTGTATTTGTTGTGAATATGTCATTCACATTTATAGTTGTATGTATTAATCCATTGTTTTGGCGTTTATTGTTTTACTATCCAGGTCACGATAGGCAGTTCCGCTGAAGGGTGACCACGTTCTTCAAAATAACTAGAACCTATCTATACATTTTCATCCCGAAAAGTGCGTGCGTTTATATAACGCTGGAAAATAAGTTATTTTTTTGACAAAATTCTCAAGTTAGTCATCAATTAAGTCGTCATCGGGGCGATCTTGCTAGTCTTCAGTTTTTAATCGATTGACCTGCGGTTCCACGAACTCAACATTTTCCAGTTTATCCGATTGTCATCTGCCTTGACTTGTTTTTCCAACCAACCGCCTGACTGTTGTCGTACGATCGTTCAAGATTAGATAATAGGATTCATGCACAATGCTCCCGGCAAATGCAATGTCTCGTTATCTTTTGAATCATAACCATATGTGGCGAAGTTTGTTACTGAAATCAAGCGGCAGTCGCGCAAAGCAGTTGTAAATAACGTCGAAAACATAATCATTTTTTATTGTCATATTTGAAAATCTTAGGCTATTTTTTGGAATAACTATCACGTTTGGTAAACAGCCAGACTTGAGTACCCAGATTCAGATTGAAGGAATGTTAATTAGAGCCAGGTTCAGCTGAAGTGAAATCGAACAAATTATTAAGATTGTTTTCTCAATACACATCTGAATTGACGTTCTATTTTTGTATTAGAATTAAAAAAGAAATAATGAATACCTCTGAAAGTCGCCATTAAATCGTAAATTTATTTCGCCTGATCTTCAATCAAAGCCATGTATGTGTATTGTGAAGCGAAGCAATATAAATACGAGGGCCATAAACAGTCTTTATAACGCATACTGTGAAAAATGTATGTAAAATATATTACAATTGTGAACAAACCTTGTACTGAGAAGGGCTGCTTTATTTTTGATTATGGTTAGTTGCGCTCGAGATTTATTGATTTTTGGTTAAATTACTAGATATTCCCATTTATATTTCCGTATTTTCACTTAATGTATTGCGCGTTGTTTCTTTCATGTAGGAGTGGAAAGTACATCTTAATTTCTTTTGTTCGCATTCGCTTTAATGACATTTCATTTACGCTTGGTGAGTTCGAAATAATATGCAAGTACTACTTTCGTATTTCCGCGTTCAAGTCGGCGTTTATACCAATGATCAAAGGCTCAAATTTTGGCGCCACGTGTGTGGTGTAGTGATGTTTTATTGTTATGTATTTCTCTAATGAATTTTAATTCGACGCGATGAATTTTGTATATTATAAAAATTTGTTAAGGATAAAAGGACGGGAAAGTTTAGCCTATTCCATCTCATAGAACTAGGTCAAAATTTTACACTTTTTGCATTGACTTGTACATACGATCACGCAATTTCCAACTGCTTTGCTGGTTATAAACCCGGTACACGTTT